CCCGGTTCGGGCCGGTGTCTCCTTCAGCCCCCCGGCTGGGGGGAATCGGGAGACACAGGGAGTTCTTGGGGATGCTTGGGAAGTCCCCCGGGGATGCCCGGCTGATCGCAGACCCATCACGGTGAGACAGCGTCCCAGCGTCTCTTTCTCGCTGCTCCCCGTGACTGGGACTGAAATCTAATTAGCCGCTCGTGTCGTGGCTGGCACTGAAGAACTTCCCCGGGTGGGTTGTACCTAGGCTGCCAAGGAGCAGTGAAGCAAGTGGAAAGGTTTGTTAAGGCTTAAAACGTAGAAAGTTAAGTCTTAAACTCTGTAGTCTTTAAAAATTGCCTATTTGAAGAGAGATTTTACTCTTGAGCTCGATCTGTACTTCATTGTACTTCAACACAGTGCTGAAAAATATGTTTTTAATTACTCTTGTAGGTGGAAATGGGCATGAAGAACCATGAAATAGTTCCTGCTAGCTTAATTGCTTCCATTGCCAGCCTTAAACACGGTGGCTGTAATAAAATTTTGAGAGAGCTGGCGAAGCACAAACTTCTGGCTTACGAACGAACTAAAAGTAAGTTTGAATTTTTGTTGGACTCCCTTTCTTATCTTGTCCCCGGTCCCTCACAGTGGCACCTGCCCAACAGGTTGGTATGTAGGAGTGCCCAGCATGTTTGCTTTGCCTTCTCTTGGACTCAGCCTGGAAATGTGCGTTTGTGTAGCACCAGATGCTGTGTCTGCTTGTATCTTGAGAAGTAAGAGACAGAAAAAATATGAACAGTTAACTTTCTTTTTTGCTCAGAATAAGGTAAAAAGAATCATCACTTGAAGCAGTATTTGTTATCTGACCAGGTGGTGCAGGTCTTTCCCTATTCCCTTCAACTTTTTAGTTGGATCTGGCTCTACAAACACAGTGGGGATGTCTGTGTTCTCCCTTTTGTCCCAGTTCTTCTGAGGATTGAGGGATTGCTCCAATCCAATTTAAATGTTTTCACCATTCAGTCAAATGGGGCTGGTAAGAGCCAAGGGGTGAAATATTACTTGGGTGCTGCTTACTGCAAGAAACAAGACTAAACTGACATTTATTTTAAATGGTATGTGTGCATAACAAGGAGTGAAATGTGTTTTCTTTTTACCCAGCTGTCCAGGGTTATCGGTTAACTAATGCAGGATATGATTACCTGGCTCTGAAAACTTTCTCTTCCCGACAAGTCATCAGTTCTGTGGGGAACCAGATGGGTGTTGGCAAAGAATCAGGTAAAGTAAAATAACAGTTTTAAATTTTTTTTAAAGCAAACACTTCTGTAATACTGCAAATATTTTGCCAGAAGCTAGCGGAGTTTTCCTCTGGGTAGACAGGTCAGTTAATCTGTCAAACACTGAGATGTATTTGAACAGAGCATGTTCAAATACTCTGTGAGGCTTCTGGCTGCATTTGAGTATTTTTTTACAACAGTGTAATTGCATTTTGCCCAATTTGTTTGTTTCTTGGTTCATTATTTAAAAAGGTACTTTGCAGGCGGGTGCTGCTTGTGTTGTGCTTTGTGAAGAGTTTCAAACCATTTAACAAAAAGATAATTTCAGCTTTTTCA